TTTAAAAGAGAAATTCTGAGACTTTTCATCTGTAAATGTTATTTAATAATCATTTCACTGCTTCACTTCTGCTGATTCAAATTAAAACTGGAGTGTGGAAACACCGTCAGCCAAAGCGCTGCCCACATGGAGGTGTCCTCTCCCTACTGCCACCACCAGTGCCCCTGCTGGGTGAGTACTCCCTCCTCCCCACCGAGTCCTACTTTGAAGCCCTAACCCCAATGTGACCTATGCTTAGATATAGGACGTCTAAGGAGATACATAAGGCTAAGTGAGGTCATATGGGTGGGGCCCTAATCCAATAGGGCTGGTTCCTTTATCAGAAGAGAAAGAGACACCAGCAAAGTCTCTCCCCCTGCCCCTCTGTTTTAAGTACCCAGGAGAACTGAGTTGGCCACACACATGCTCCTCTTTGCAACGCTCTGTGACTACGATCCTCTAAGTCTCTGGTCCTGGGATCTGGTTGTTTTCTGCGGTATGCCATGTTGCATGCGAGCAGAAGTCATCGCATTTGCTTTTAAACCATCATCAATGACAGAAGATGAGCTATGGGTTCTATAGTAGTTAAGTGCGGATTGTGACTTGGTTAAAAATAGCTTTGGCCCAGGTGGTTATTGTCTGGGTCATTCACCGAGGCCCTGGGTTGATATTTCTATTAATAATTACTATGAATACGTTTTGCACATTTATTTTATTCCTGAGGAAATGCTGGATACTCTTACATATCTAATTTTACTTAATTAAGTGTAATCAGATCTTCCCACACAATCCCATTCATGAAGCAGATGTGCCTGGATAATCAAACCTAAGCCTTCGCTCCCATAGCTCTGGATTTTAGCATCTAACTTTCTAGTGGAGTGTTCCCAGGTTCTATGTAATTTTTTTTTCAGGGATGATTAAAACCATTTTTCTAAGTCATGTGGTGGCGGAACTGGATTCGATACCGTGTTTCTGATTCTGGAATGAGATGAGGCATTTATTCCTTAGGAACCCATTGACTGGCTACGTCCTTTGCTCCTGGCACTGAACAAGACACTGGGAATAGAGACCATGGAGACAGACCTGAGTAGGAATAGACATTTTAAACTTTAAAATGTCTGGAAAGTCCCCCAAACCTCACGGGTTGAAGGCTTGGTCCCGTGTCGCCGTGCTCAGAGGTGACACCCTATGATCAGAAGGGCTCTGGCCTTGGCAGTGGGTCCCTCCATTACTCCACAGCCGATGGCAACTTTTAGAAGTGGGCCTGGTGGGAGGAGTGCTCAGTGGGAGCACTTGTCCCTGGCCCCTTCCTTGCTGCCCCTCGGCTTCCCAGCTGCCGTGAGGTGAGCAGCCTTCTCCTGCCGTGCTCTCCTGCCATGATGTTTGCTTCTCCTGAGGCCCCGAGCAGCGGACAGATGCTGGCTGCCCATGAACGGAACCCTCTGAAGCTGTGAGGCAAAACAGATCCTCCTCTCAGTTGTTTATCTCGGGTGTTTTGCCCCCATTGATGGAAAGCTGACTACACTCTTTGACCTTTTTTTTTACTTAGTAGTTGACATGGATAAATGAAAAGCAGTTAGTTTGGCTCTGCTTACCTTCTGGACACTTCAAGTTTGTGTAAGTGAAACTGAGGGAAAACCTGATGCATTGGTCAGTTTTTCGTCGCTGTGACAAATTACCAAAGAAAAACAACTTAGAGGAGGAAAGATTTATTCTGGCTCATGGTTTCAGAGGATTCAGTCCATGGTCGGCTGTCTGCTTTGCTTTGGGGCTAGGGTGAGGCAGGACACCATGACAAAAGGGTGTGGTAGAGCAAAGTTGCTCACCACAGGGCAGGCAGCTGAGAGAGAGATGCTGGGGACAAGGTACACCCTTCCAGGACACACACCTTGTCACCTACTTCCTCCAACTAGGCCTCTCCTCATAAGTGCCCATCACCTCTCAATAATGCCATTAGCTATAAGCCAATCAGTGGATTAGTCCATTGATGAGGTCAGAGCCCTCGTGATGGAATCGCTTCCAAGAGTCCCACCCCTGAACAGTGTTGCACTGGGGGCCAAGGAGCTTCTGGAGGACACTCCAGGTCCAATCACAAACCCTCTAGACTTAACTGGCTTCTCTTGCTTTTACTTACTTGCTTCTGGTTGACTTTACAAAGCACCCATTTTAGCCTGGCACAGCGGTGCATGTCTGTAATCCCAGCGACTCGGGAAGCTGAGGCAAGAGGATTGCAAGTTCAAAGCCAGCCTCAGCAAAAGCAGGTGCTAAGCAACTCAGACCCTGTCTCTAAAGAAAAAGGTACACGTAGGGTTGGGGATGTGGGCTCAATGGTTGAGTGCCCTTAAGTTCAATCCCCAGTCCATCCTCCCCCCAAAACCCCCAAAACATTCATTTTAGAGGTCCTATAGCTAAGCAATATAGCATTAGGCTCCCACTAGCTTTGCTGTAGGTAATGCCTCAGGTGTGTGGGGCATGTAAGTTGTTTTTAAGGATCTTGGGGCCATTTCTGTCTACTTCTACTGGGTGAAACCACCAGCTGTTCACTTGGTCCTACACAAGGCCAGTGGGTGACCTTTTTGTCAGTACAGGGCCCCCTGCTCAGAATATGCTGACACCACCATCCTCTGCACATGTGCCCTGTGAAGAGAGCCATGACATTTGGTTGTGCATGTGCAGGCCACCAAACTGCTCTTCTAGCCTCCCATCACATCGCCCCGTGCCCCAAACCACCCACTTCTCTACCCCATTAGTGTCCCTAAGCCCTACCTGGGGAAGGAGCTTGAGACTGGCCCTCTTCTCTCCTTGCCTGGATGTCTCATGAATAGACCCTTTGTCTGTTGCCAAACTCATCGCTTCAGTGATGTGCCTACCACACAGAGGGCAAAACAGCACAGATTTGGTGACAGAAGTATTTTCAGGTCTAGTCCTCTAAAGACAGCCACTTCTAACCCTCCTATCTATTTCTTCAGGTGTTTTCCACCATATTTCTAAATAATATGTTTATGATCCTATTTGTTTTTATTGTTAACTATCACACAAATGCAGAAAACTACATAAAGCAAACGAAGATTGTAGTGAACTGCATACAGGGCGGGACACGCTACCCAGCCCCTGCCCGGTCCCTGCTCGAGACGTAGATGGGGCAGCTCAGGAACTACTTCACGACCACTAATTGTAGCTGCTGTTGATGTTTTAATCCCATGTACTGACTATGAACTCAAGGCATATAATACACTTTTCTAAGAACTGTAATTCTGTGAAATTCTAGCACCTCTTTTATTGACAGGCACTAAAGACTATAATAAACAGAGAGGACCCCATTTTATAAAAGTAGAGGTTTTTGGTCGACTGTAGAAATATACACATGACCTTTCTAATGCATTTTTAATAGCCTCTATTTCTGGACATTAGCCAACGTTTGCATCTTTAGTGGTAACAGATTTGCTATGCAGGTCAATTCCTCCCCTTAAGAATGCTGCTAAAGGTTTGACCTTAACCCCTACTGGCTCCTTTATTTCCTTGTTCCAGTGAATTGATTCCCTAGTTTGTGAGTTCTGGAATCCATGGTGCGGTATTTACCACATTTTAATTGATTGGATTGCCTTGGTCAGCATTGTATGATACCCTAACCTCACTTGGCTGCTTAGATGTTAAGACCTACAAAGCCCTTCTCAGACACTGACTGGAGAGAGGGCTGTCTCCTCTGTGCTCATTGCTAATTGGCTGCATTGTCAGTCCAACAGGCTGTCAGCAATCAACTGCAGATTCCCAAAGTACAAATTCCACTCCTTTCCTTTTAATAGCTTCAGTGGTAAGCAGTGATATCTTGGTGTTTTGACCCATCCAGGCTTCCTGCTCTGTGGCCACCTTCCCTCCCTCCATGGGGTTGCTCCCAGCTTGGCCATCCAGTCTTTCCTGGACCATGTAAATGTAGAGATTAGAAGGACATAAGAAACTCTACCTATTTTCTTGGGTTCAAATATCAAGTCCTCTTGGTAGAGTCAATAAAGAAAAGCCAGATAATGTAGTAGGAAGAAGACAAGCTTTTGGGTGGGATAAACGTGCATGTGTATACTATATCCAGTCTTCCAGAGGAGTGAGCTTAGAAGAACCACTTACCTTCTTCAAGCTTCAGAGCACTCAAAAAGTAAGGACAATAATACTCTCATTGTTAAGTGTCAACAGAATGAAATGAGGTAAATAAAAAATACCCAGCACATGGTTTACATAAAATTAAACATGGACTTACCATAGACCCCAATTGCACTCTTTGGAAAATACTTAAGAAAATGAAAACATATGTCCATACAAAAGTTTATACATGAATATTGACATCAGTTTTAATTAAGAGTGGCACAAGTGGAAGCCTGCCAGGAGTCCATTAACAGGTGAATGCATACATGAATAGTGGTTAGATGGACTCTGACTAATGACAGTTCAACTTAATGAATTTCTGAATTTATGATGGTGCAAAACAGTATGCATTTGGAAGAAACCATACTTTGAATTTTGACCTTTTCCTGGGCTCGACATACCTTACTCTCTGGTGATGCTGGGTGGTGCCAGGGAGCCACAGCTCCCAGTTGACCATGCAGTCACAAAGATGACCAGCAGAGGCTCAGCCAGGCTCTGTGCTGCTTACCTGTGTTTGGTAGGTTAGGTGAATTCCATGCATTTTGACTTCCTCCATTTTCAACTTACTTACCACTATGTAATGCTATCATAAGTTGGGCCATCTGTGCATTCATACCATGGAAGTCTACTCAGCAATACTGAAAATTAACAGTTGACACGTGCATCAACCTGGGTGACTCAGAAACTTGTGCTGAAGGAAAAACCGGACCTAAAAGGCTGCACACACTCTGATTCCATAGAAATTCTAGAAAAGAAACATGTAAAGAAGAGATCAGGAGTGACCTGATGCTAGGGGTGAGGTGGATTGACTGGGAAGGGGCATGGGGGTACCTTTGAGTAACAGAAATGTCTGCAAATCTTTACTGTGGTGGTAGTTTCAAGGGAATACAAAATGGTCAAAATTCACAACCCAGAACTCACTGTACACTCAAATTGTGTTCATTTCATTGTATGTAAATGACACCTTAATAGAGTCAACTTTAAGAAATGCCTGGTACAATGCCTAGCACGTTGTAAGTGCTCCATACATTTTGCTTCCCATCTCTTTGGCTGGTGCTTGGCAGGGATGGCATTCCCTGGCCCCTGCCTTGTGTGGTTGAATGAACTCCAAGTCTTGTGAGCAGACACACCTGATTTTATAATGTACCTGTGTTCTCTGACTTCTAATACCCTCCAGCCAGCTTTCCGTTTTCAATATTTCCGTCAACCCAGACTACCATAACAAAATACTGCAGACTCATGACTTGAACCACAGACATTTATTTCTCGCAGTTGTGGAGACTGAAACCCATGATTGAGTGGCCAGTGTGGTCAGGTTCTGGTGAGGATGCTCTTTCTGGCTTGCAGACAGCTGTCTTCTCACTGGGCCATCACATGACATTTTCATGGCTTAAAGGGCCACTGGTCCTATGGGATTGACATCCCACCTCATGCAGCCTTAGTCACCTCCTAAATACCTGTCACATCAGAGGTTTGAGCTTACCACATGAAGTTTGTGGGGGACACAATTCAGCCCTTAGTGCATCCTATGCAACCACAATGGCCCCTCTGTATACAGGTGGCAAGTGGAAGTGTTGATGTCATTATCTTATACAAGAGCTTTGGGGGGGAGGGGGTTGTGTACACACACCAGCTCCCCGAGTCTGGGGCGGGTGGTCCTGAGGGCACGCTTCCACTCCATTACTCAGAGTGTCCCTACTGGTGACTGGCTCGTGTCCCTGCCCTGCCCTCCCCGTGCTCCTCTTACCTGCCAAACACATCATTTCACTTGAATTTTTGTCTCAGGGTCTGATTCTGAGAGGACCTAGGCTAAGACAGTGACCGCTTTTGCTCAGGAGCTGGAATTCAAGGCCTCCTGGGGAAAAGGTCCAGCAAACATACATCAGCGGGTACAAGAAGGGATTCCATCTGAGGGGCCAGGGAGGGCTCTGGGAGGAGGTGGGGAGTGAACTGGAATTGAAAGGTGTGCACGGCTTTGACAGGTAATTTATGGAACCCAAAAGAAGGGAGAAAGAGAAGAGAGAAGAAGTGGAGAAAGAGGAGGAGAAGAAGGAGAAGGAGGAGGGGGAAGGGGACACGGTGAACACACTGGGCATGGAGGAGTGAGACCCAGCCCCTCTTCTCAAGGTCACCATATATATGAGGACTGAGGTGACCACCAGGTAAATCACTGGCCTGCTCCCCTGTGATTCCACCTGTCATCTCCTGGGTGCAGTGTGTCCCAGTGTCCAGTGTCCTGAGAGAGCCCTGAGTGAGGAATTCCCTCGTGCCAAAACTGCAGTGAGAGGAAAAACCGAGCCTTTGGAATACTCTCCACGGGCACAGTTCCAGAACTCAGGGCAGCGTCCACAGTCTTGTTTTAATGGCTTTGGCTAAATTCGTGTTCATTGCCTGACTTAGAGTTTGCAGTGTTAATATTTTGTGCATTGGGCCAATTCTCTGGTGATTTTAATATTTCATTTATCGACTGATTTAACTTTTAATAGTATCCAAAGCCATCTCATTAGATTACAGTGCCGAAAGAGTGCCGCTGTAATAGCTATCCCGTTGTTCGAGTAAATTCAATTTGGACAGATGTAGCCCAAGGCGAAAGGGAATCGTAATCTCTGAAATATTTTGTCATCCTATATTCCAAACAAGTCTCAGCTTCTCTGTGCATGACTTGGACGTGACAGACAAATCTCCAGAGATCTTGGAGGACCCGCCAAGAGGTGTGTGTGCACATGGTGATGGGCACTGCCAGGCTCACTGTACCTGTGTGCTGAGTCCCTGCTACCCCTGTGTTTGGAGTTTTGTAGAGGAGTGTATTTCTCCTGATTAATTTCTAAATCCCTAAATACAAGGTAGGGACTTACTAAATATTTGAATAGAACTGGACCTGAAATTCTGTTCCCTGGCATCTGGAGAGTTCTGTCCTTGGTCCTGAATTGTTAACGGTTTTGAACAATAACCGGGATGGCTCCATAGAGGACCTTCTTGGAACCCCTAATGGTAGTAGGCTAGGAAGGACTGTAAAAACATTTGGTGGCAGAATCAGCGTCAAAAAGATTTCCTGTGCTATGAAATCCTTAATCTAATAAAAATGTAGCGGATGATCCTCTTTCACCGTTTGAACCCAGAAGGCAAAGCCTGTCGCCCCCGTCTGTATCTGCAGAGCCTAGGAGGGCGCTGGGTATGAATCACAGGGAGAGCAGAGGGCCCTTGAATGAATTCATATTTGCAAGTCCCACATTCTGCCCCAAAGTCCATTTCTCACAAGTACCCAGTGGAAGAGATGGGAAAGGTAGGACTTAGCATGAAAGAAAAATATTTATAATCACTAATTGATGGTCAGTTCAATAATGGACTTACGCAGTCCTTGGAAAAGCAAACTTTTCTTTTTGCCACCAGGTGGAAGGCAGCTGTGCAGACCACAGGGGTGGTGGCAGTTCTGTTGTGAGAGACCCTATCCGTCCCTCTGCCTCAGTCCTGGGACCTGTGCCAGGCTTCCTGTTAGGCACTTGAAAGAAAGCCTCAGGTACAAAAGTATAGCCTCTCTGGGGACATAAGAACATCAGCTTGATTGTTCATTTAATCTAAAAATATTTACTGACAAGCCTCTCTATCCCACACATATTTTTTTTTAAAGAGGAGGAGGAGAGAATTTTTTTAAATATTTATTTTTCAGTTTTCGGTGGACACAGCATCTTTGTTTTATTTTATGTGGTGCTGAGGATCGAACCCAGTGCCCTGCGCATGCCAGGTGAGCGCGTTACCGCTTGAGCCACATTCCCCAGCCCTGTGCCACACATCTTGATGCAGAGGTACCTACGACAGTGTCCGTCCCCAGAAGGCCTACAGCAGAGCATGGCAGGGTGAGAGGGCCAATGCACGAAGTGAAGGCCCTTATAAAAAACCCAGGACAGCACAGGACAAACAGTGCACGCCTAATGTATGCTTTTTGAATGAGTAGACTTAAGTTCTTAGGCCTTCATACCTGTAAGAATCACCTCCCAGAGATTCAGGAGGTCTGCGGTGAGGGTCTGGGAATCTGGAAAAGAAGAGGACTCACAAGCAGGTACTGGGAGGATTGGGAGTGCAGAGGGAGGTGGAGGGTGTGCTGGTGTGGGGGTGGGAGCGTGTGAGCTCCATTTGTTTCCTCGCTGCTGATCTGAGTGATTGTGCTGACTGGTCATGGGGCAGACCAATCCTCCCTCCCAGGCCCTCCCTCCTTCCCTCTCTCCCTCTCTCCCTCCCTCCCTCCCTCCCTCCCTTTGATTCTCCTTCTGTAGCCCTCCAGGAGTTACATACCCTGAAGGTAGGATCCTTCCCCAGATAGCCTGCCTGAGTTTTGGTGTAAGCCCCGCAGATGACCTGGCTGGACCCAGGGCAAGATGAGGGGGTCCCGGGAAGGCACACTGGAGCTTCTTGCTGCAGTGTTCTTTGCTCTTTCCTAGAGTCCCGAGTGAGTCTGATGTGAAGACACAGGTTGGTTGTCTGGGCAGGGAGGGAAGAGCTGTCCTCGCGTAGGGTCAACTCATAATCACACCAACTTATGCTCAAACGTTGGAGTCAGCCTGTGGCCAGAGCAGTGGACCGTGGTTTCAAGCCCCTTGACCTCCTGAAGTACTCACAGCTCCCCTCCTCATTGAATCCTGCAGGTCGGCACCGTGCAGTTACATAGCTGGTCCGCCTCACAGAGACCCCTGCTGTGGAGGGCAGTTGGAGACGGCAGACGTAGCTGCACTGCCAGGTGGAGACGGCTGGCACCGTCCAGCACCCACCACATTCTAAATGCAGCCTTAGTTAAATGAGTATGTGAGTAGGACTTGTCACCGGTGTTTCCTCAAACACCGTGAAACTGGGATGGGGGCCACTGGCCCCGGGGGACAGACAGTCTGCAGCCCATGGAGGCTATCTCGACGGCACCCTGAAAAACATCCCTGCAAAGGCTTTGCCTCTTCCAGGAGGACAAGGTCTCTCCTTTGTTCCAAGCCCAATCTGATCAGATTCTGAATGGCTCTTAGGATGGAGTAAATAAATCTGTGACTCTCCACCCATGACGTGGCTGCAGTCACTCTTGCTTTAAGGCTCAGTGCACCTGTTACACTCCAAGGAAATCAGACCTGCCCCTGTCTGGCTGCAACATCAGACATGATGAAAATTCTGAATTTTTTTACTATATGTATATTTATTCTGATTTAAATATGTATTACTAATTTACATATATATTAGTGTACTAAATTTATATATGCATTATTATATCTTAATACACATGAAATTTATATGTTTTCTCTTATATACACAAAAACAGAAAATGTAATGGTTTGAGATAAAGATGACATAGATAATGTCCTAAAATGGCTTTTACAATAAAAATCCGACTTTGCTGTCACTTCTTTTCAGCCACTGAAATTTTAATAATATGTTCCAGTAAGTATGAAGATCAAATAGGCTTCATTATTTGTGAAATTTTAACAGTTGATGATACTGCAAGATATTGAAGTTCTAAGTTTAGTTTTCTAAAAAAAAAAAAAAATTCTAAGTTTTAATGGCTGTCAGAGTTGAAAAGGATTCCCTTCAAAGAGGAGTCGATCCCAGTGGAAGTTGGGCATTGGTGGCTATGTTTACTAAATCACGATCCTCATTTTTCAATGTCATCCACCAATTATGCAAAGGTTTTTGTTGAAATTGGGCTAGTAAATTTCCATCTTCTGGATGTCAGGCAGTTATTCTTGCAAACTAATTGGAAGATATTTCATTTTTACATCTTTAAACAAATGGGTCCAAAACCCATTGAAACTTTATTTGGAAGATTTTTAAGCATTCTGGAGACTTCTTTTTGTGTGCCACATGAACACTATTATAGTCCATACACCAACTACGGTGGCAAAAACACCACCCAGTGATGGAAATGTTTTAAAAATGCTCTTCGACACCTGAATTTCTTTAGAAAAGCAGTTACTTTCTCACTTTTTACCTTGAAGGGTCAGAATAAATGTGTTTATTTTTTTAAACAATATCTAGTAGCAGCACACTGCTGAGAGCTATTTGTCATCACAGAGAAGGTCACCAGATTTGATACCCTGTCTCCTCGTAAAGGAAGAATGTGTAACCCACGTTCAAGTTCAACAACTCTTTTGAGTACATTGTGCATTCCAAAAGAAGTTCATTGTCAGACCCCATATCCTTATCATGTCTGGTGAAAGTCCTGCTACTCAAATTTCCTTTTCTGCCTATATATAATCACATCAATGGCACCATGTGACACTTTGTCCACTTCTTATATTTCTTTGTTGCGATAGCCTGCCTATAAATGACACTGTGAATGAATTTCATGCATGATGTTACCTCTGTAACCTCACTCCAGAGTGTTTTGTAAATTCTAGAGGTTATATTTCCAAGGTGTTCTGCTAAAACACAATATTACAGAATGTTATTGAAGCTGCGTCTTCTCCAATATGACTTCCTGTTCACTGCTCACATAAAAATAGTTCTTCCCATGTAACATTCTGGATGGTTACTACATCAGGGTCTTCAGAATGCGCACTGCACAAATGTCAGAGGCAATCATCAGAGAGACTACAGTGTGACTGAAGCCTTCTGAATGGCACAACCTACACAGCCACACGGCACTGGAATAAAACGGCCTACTCCGTCAAATGGGACATGTTGGAAACATCTGCATTTTAATCTCAAACGTTGATGACTGCATGATGCACCCCAATATTCTCCTGTTTCCCCACACAAAAAGGGTGGTATAACTTCCAAATGTATTTCTGACAAAGAATGCATTTTAATTTACTCTGTATTGCAATATCATAGTGATGTGTAAGTTTAACCGTGTTACTGAGGCAGAAAGAATGAGATCTCTAACCTTATACTCTGGATGCTTGGCATTCTTAAAGCCCAGTGTGTATATTAAGGTATGATGACTATCTTTAATTTACAGTAGTGGCTGTAAATTAAAATTTCAAATAGAATTTTTACAGAACAATGTTTTCTCCTGACCGATTTCTCATGTGATGTGATCAGAAAGTCATCACTGTACGATGTCATTATACCTCCTTACAGTGTGCAAAGGAACCCATGCTTAGATCAACCTTTCCATTTCTTGTTGCTTGTAAATGCATTAGGATTAGCTTTACCTGGATGTTTCTTTGAAGAAACTTCTAAAACCCTGTCAATTTAAAAATAAAACACTACTCCCATCTATGTATGATGAATCAAGTGCATAAATGCATTCTACTGCCATGTATAACTAATTAAAATAAATTTTAAAAAACTAGATAAATATCTGCCTTACCTGGATATACACAAGCAGCTATAGGTAGCAATATAATGTAGGGTATGTTGAAATTAGTGGTCCAGCCATCTTCTTTGAGAACCAGCAGGATTTCCTGCTTTTCCAAAGGATTCCATGTGCCCTGGAATGTGGGGTGGGGGATAGAGTCATTCTGAGTCCTGAGATAGTATAATGTAAATTCTTTCATATTTTTAAGGTAAATAAATATAGAGTTTTATATTTTCTTTTCAGCGTCATGGGTTGGCTATATTCCATTTCAGGTATCAGGAAGAATAAAGAACTTCTTCCCTTTCGCTCTGGCTGGTATCTATAATTTTTAAAAATAAAGGTAAGTTTTCCTCTTCAGAAAAATCAACTGCATTCATTGTAGGAATATGGAAAATATGGAAACATGTATGAATGTGAAGCCATCTGTAATCGTCTCTCAGAAATCATCACCTAACATCTTGGAATCTCTCTCTCCAAGCTTTTGTTGTTGTTTAATTTCCTTTTTCTTATTAGATCCTAATGGTCATACTTGTTAGTTGGGTTTATCCTGACAAACCCATACATGCATGGGAATCGATTTCAGTTCATGAGCCCCTCTTTTTCTCCCAAGCTCTTTTTGGACATTTGAAATATATAGTTAAGATCATACTGTCTGCAGGTGCCCACCTGTAGTCCCAGGGACTCAGGAAGCTGAGGCAGGAGGATCACAAGTTCAAGGCCAGGCTCAGCCACGGAGGGAGACGGTGTCTCAAAATTAAAAATAAAGGAGGGCTGGGGATGTTTCTCAGCGGTAGAGTGCCCCTGGCTTTGATCCCCTGTACCACACCTACGCAGAAAGGTCACACTGCCCATAAAATACTACTCAGTTTTTCGTTTAATAACAAGTTTCAGTAACTCTCCGTAATATCTTGGTAATTTTGCTAGTGTAGAAAATGAGCCTGAGCTTTGTGGTCAGCTAGACATGGGTGTGAATCCCGGCTTTTCCTATGAATCGTGGGCATCTTTGGACCTGAGCTAACTGAGTCCCAGCTCACTCTGCTAAGAGGTAAGAGGGACAATACCTCACTTTAGCAATTGTCAGGCGACGGACGTAGAAAGCACCTAACGTGTTAGGTGTCCGTTCGACGGTGGTCATGATGCAGCAGAAGTCCGTAAACCCTGATGTCAGGGGCAGATCTAGCTTGCTGCCTGCCTTCCTCCATGAAGATGTTTTGGCACACACCATCACTCGGGTCCTTATGCACTGTCCACGGCAGCCCTCATACAAAAACCGGTGAGCGGTGGTCACTCAGATCCTCGGGTTCACACTGCCTAAAGTCCTTGCTGCCTGGCTGCAGGGGACCGAATGTTTGTGTCCACCTCAAATTCCCGTGTTGCCCTGGACCCCCAAGGTGATGGCACTGGGGGGGGGATGTGGTCATGCACATGGAGCTCTCATGAAGGGGATTCCCGCCCTTGTTCTCTCTCCTGCCTCGTGAGGACTCCATGAGAAGACGGCTGCCTGCAACCCACAAGAGGCTCCCAGAGCCCGGCCTCGCTGGCTCCCTGACCTAGGTCTCCAGCCTCCAGAGCTGTGAGCGGTACGTTTTGGTTGTTCATTTGCCACCCAACCTGTGATTTTGTCATGCTGGCCCCAGTGGGTCGAGACATTGGCTGTTTCCAGAAAAAGCTTGCGGATCCCTGTCATGTATTATCATCATTATCCCTGTCATGAATATTATCATCATTTATTCTTTAGGACTTTACAAGCTTGTTCAGAACATCTTGAAGCCTCTTCAGGGGCCTGGGCTCTGTGTCCTGACCCACCTGC